AACCGCTACTGGGTGATGTTTCTTCCGTGTAACTCTACAAACACCCCAAGCAAAACCTGCTCCTCACCGTGTAGAGGTCCCAAAATGACGCCGCAGACGCCAGCAACAGGTACTCCGCCACCGCCACCGCCGCCCGGATGTTCGCACGTTGCCTCCACTGATGCCCGAGGAGGCACTTGTTGCTGATCCTCTGCGGCCCCCTCCTAGTCCCGCTGATCTTTGCCGCGTGCCTCTTCATCTGCGCCGCCAAAATTTGGTACATCGCTTGCCGGACACCACGTCTCCGGCTAGTTCTACGCCTCAATTGAGAAAATCATTTTCTTCTGGGTGGGCTGACGAGAGGAGATGAACGGGATGTTAGTCAGTTTAGGGTTTGGGAAAATTGAGAACAAGCTTTTCTCAAGAGATTCAGAATGTGACTGATGTAGATTGAAAAAATCAAATTGTGTGTTGGCGTGTTGCATAAAATCCGCACGTCAATCTGCCCCTTGAATTGGCAAAAAGAAGGAAATAAATAAACAATTTAAAAAAGAAGCTCCAAACGACGTCGTTTTGAATCAAATGAAGAGCAAAGATCTATGCCACATGTCGGCAAACGAAGGGCTCAAGCTGTTTTCTTATAAGATAGAGGGAGATATTACCCAAAACAGTAGGAATATTAATCCAGCAAACTGAACCTCACCCATGTGAATCAAAGTAATATATATTATATATATCTGCCTGTTTAATATCTTACGGGTTAAGAGAACGCAGTAATTAACCGAGGCCTAGTTCATTTACGACGATCAGTATAAAATGAACTTCTCCTCTCTGGGATCCTGTTCAATACATAAATGTACTAGTGCAACTAATCAGTCAAGACAAACTGTACAGTTGACACTACAACCGTGCGGATAGGGTGTTCATGTCCATCTAGGTTGTGAACAACTATTCTTGTTCGCAAGTAACTAATAGAGTGATCTTCGGTTCGCTTGATGACGACCCACCCTATCTAAGTGCAGAACAACAGAACGTAGAACTTGTTTAATCTAACATGATTCTCATTCATAAAGGGTAAATGTGTAATAACATGCAAAGCCAAGCTTTTAGTATATAACACTAACAGTTCTGACTCTACCCGATGACGTTGATCTCGAGACGATCCAACGCGTCTTTCACTTTACTGATGAAATCCACGAGAGCTTACAGTTCGAGGAGAAAGAAGATGACCATGAGTCACCATATGAACATGATTTACATCCTACTGAGGTGGAGGGTGTCAACAACCTCACAGGACTCGAACGGCCGTCGGTGTGGGTCAAGGGTAGAAACTCGACATAATCACAAGGCATTTTATGAAAATGACTAATGAGAAAAAAAGGTGACAAACACTTTATATGTATTTGTAACCATTGTCTGCCATACGGCATGAGAAAATACACTTCCAAAACAGGCGATAGGTACGGAACAATGCAACAGCACATACGGACACATCATCTGGCCGAAATGGGGATTTCCTCGACCCAAATGCAATTCCCGAAGAGTAGCATTGCATCTGCGACTGGAAAAGGTACGTCTTTTATTTTATTTCAACTAGTACGGTTTCCCGTGCAAATGCATGGGAGCTACAAAAAATATAATTAAAATATAAATTGTAATTCTACAAAGGGATGATTACACATTACTTCTTTCTATACAACATTCTTTGTCTGTGAGTTGTTTTCATCGTCACAAATTAATATTTTCAACCCATTCCTATTTGTAACTCGTGAAACAACAAGCTTGTCATGCGTAAATACAAATTCTTCAGGAATAAACCAGCATGAGAAAGAGATTGTCACCGGCTTTTGTTACTCGTCATCGCATAAGAAGCCATCAGGGGAAATTGTCATCTATGGAACTTGGAAGGAACTCGTACATCTGATTGAGTCAAACTAATTCTTGGTATAAGAACCAATTCTCCACTGCTCGAACTCATTAAAACTATGCATTGCAACACATGACTATCGAGCCTCATTATAACCAAATGCGTATCGTTGCACAAACTACTTAAGTGATCAACGCTTCTCATCAAAATTACTGGAGTGCTGTCTTTCGTATGTAGTTCGTGATTTGGAACAGTGGAGCATTTAATGTTGTTCGAGAATTCAGGAGTCTGCAATTTGTGTAAAAAAGTAAACCCACCTTTTGATTTCGATGTGGTGTCAGAACTGAGAATTGTCTGTCCATCCGACATATTTAAGTAGTCATGTACTCGTTTATTGATTAACTTTTAGTGTCGGAGTATTGCTCTATACTTCAAATAGGTAGGATCATCAACTGCATTTTTAAACATCAGATACGTATTATGCACAATCGTCTCAATCAGACTGCCATCGCATTTGAGCAAAATATCAGACGAAATATCTACATTACCACAACCGTCAATTTATTCTCCAATATCACCGATGCTTCCAATCCATTTAGAGAAAGTAAGCATATCATTTTATTCATCGGGATCAGGAACGTTCTGACGTTACATGTTCTTCGTTGGTTTTAAAACCTTAATATGTGGAAAGACAATTTCTACATATATGTGTATAAAACCTCCACACATGTGTAAATTTAATTTAATTTAGTTTCTTTAATTTTTTACTTTGCAACAATTTGTAGTATACAAAACCTCCGCATATGTGTTTGAAAGACGACTTCTTAAATAAAAAAAAAATATTTATTATTATTTAGTTTTTCATAGTGTGGACATGTACATAAAACCTCCGTCAGACGTCTATTAATTTCTGGAAGACGGTTTTCAAAAATAAATATTTTGCAAATGTGTACAAAAAAATTATTTATATTAAGAAAAACCATAGGACGGATTATAACACAATTAAAAATAATAAATTATTTTTTAAAAGCAACAGTCTTTCAAACATTTTGTTTTAATATTTTGCAAACTGTGAATGTGTACACAAAAATTATTTATATTTTATTAACTACATTTCATAAGGCGGTCTTGTACACAATTAAATAATAATAATTGGCACATCAAAATTATTGTTCGTCAAATAACATCAAAGGTCTTAGTTTCGAAAGATGGAATGTCTAATGTTTTTTCACCCGGAGAACTAATTGGATTGTTACGAGCGGAACGAACGGGGCGCGCATTGGAAGAGGCGGTTTGTTACTGAGCCCTTGTATTGGGAATAACAAGAGCATCTCTCAATACTCAAAGTTTTATATCTGAGGCGAGTTTTCAAGAAATTGCAAGGTTTTAGCAAAAGTAGCTCTCCGGGGTTGAATCGATTGGTTAAAAGGCTTGAAAGAGAAAACATCTTTCAAACATGTGCGGAGGTTTTTGTACTAGAAANCTGTCTTTTAAACATGTGTGCAGGGATTTTATGTACTACAAATAATTAAAAAAAAATTAATTGTTTATTTATATTTTTCATAGTATGGACGTGTACACAAAACCTCTGGCCAACGATTAGTATTTGAAAAATAAGACGATTAGTATTTGAAAGATGGTTCCGAAATAATACATTTTTATTCTTTATATATTGTAGATTGTGGATGTGTACACAAATAATTTATTATTTTTTTTAGAAAATCAGTGGAGGCGTACACAATTTATAAACAAAAAAATATTTTTTTTTTCTAAGATACCATCTTTCAACATGTATATAGAAGTTTTGTGTACTATAAATATTTAAAAAAAAAAATTATTATATATATTTTTGTAATTATTACATATTTGATATCAGTATAAACAACAAAACAGAATCCTACGTTTCTCTTTCCTTCTCAATAGCTCATTTTGTACCTATATAAATTAAGATTAAATTTATTATGAACTTCATGAAATACACAACACACAGAAATACAACATCCGATCAAAAACTTTTTGCCATTAACACAACAAAACGACAAAACCATGGGGACTCATCAAGGACATAAAAAGGACAAACATGCCAATGATCAAGTTGCGAATTGTTCGAATAATTCAAAGAACAACCGAAGCTCACACTTACAAGAATGTTCTTGAAATAATAATTCATTAATCTATGACGAGGTGTACTATTTTTTTATTTTTTATTTTTAGTCTGATAAGAAATAGGGTCACAATCTTAATTGGAGGCGAAAGCAATGAGAATCAATCGAAGATGGGGTACACGCGACATATTGGAACTAACTCAATTACGAGCCCCGCAAGCGAGAAGAAAATCTATCATTTGTTATGCTGGTCCATGCCCTTCCAGCTCATAATGGAAATTCACTAATGACATGATTTGTATGAGCGAATGAAATGAAAATAGAATGATCATTCTCTTAAGTGAGGGGCGTGAGAGTAATTTCACAAATGCATGAACTTCTTCTTCTTCTTCTTCATCAAGAGAAAGAAATTGTGGTCCGCCATTTCTTCACAGCTACCAACTGCCGCTTGCTTGGGGTTCCACGCCGGTACGTCTAGATTGAACTAGCGTAATGTGTTATATTTTGGTCTATATATTGTGTATCGTAAATAGCGTTGCGTGTTGTGTAAGCTAAAAAAACTGGATACTTGATTCCAAATATTATCATAATATTTGAATGAATTAAAAATAACATTTAAGAATTATTTCTCACAAATGTTTAGTGTAATGTCTTAATATGAATATTTAAATAATAAAGTTAATATACTAAAAGTAAAAGCAAACAATGAAAACATAATAAGGTAAATTATTGTTTAATTTTAAGTACGTATATTTTAATTTTTTATATTTTAACTCCAACTTAATTCTAACTTCTAGATCTGAACTTTTTATTCTTTAATTTAAATGTCGAATATCGAAAAATAAAATATTATAATAAAAAATAATTGTTAAATATTGCACTATTCAACTTAGGACTTTGCATTTTCAAACTTTTAATTTAAAATTATTATCAAAATTTTCAAATAACAACTCAATTTTTAGTTGTCATTTGAAAATGACTCTAATCCCAAAAAAAATACAAGTTTTTGAATATTTATTATTCACATATCGTTGAAGAAATATAACAAAAAATAGCATAAAATAGTGTAAAATAACTTAAAAAAATGTGTCATTTCAATATTTCGCATAAAATTTTCAAGAAAAATGTTAAATATATAACGTTTTCAAAAAAACGCTACAGCATGCTATTTAACAGTTTTAAGTTGCATTTCTGTGCAAATTAGCCTTTGCTGTTTGGGGGAAGAAAAGTATAGAATTCGGACTTTACAAATTGTTGTGGGTGCTAATGCAAAATTAAAATGTACGCAAAATAATTTATAAGTTTGACGAT